GGGGTCAGTCGGTAATCCTGAAAGCAATATGGGGCGTTACAAATGGTATCAGAGCCATACCTCTCCCAGTACGATGTGGTTCGGGGACGAACCAAGCGGAAGTTGGTGGGCATGTAACACCTGAGGTGAAAGAGGATGGTGGTTACATGTAACACCCGTGGGCGAGGGAGTGGTTGTCGGTGTCATGAGGCATGACAATGGGACACTCCTAGCAGCTTCTAGGGGAAAACCGAATTCACATCCGAATGAGAGGGATCCTGAGGCTATGCAGGTATGGGACTGCATGGTTGAATGAAAGCTTATAAGGATTAATTGGTACTACCTATACCAATAAGATGCATCTTCTTTTCGGTAGCCCGTTCATAAGAACTCCACAGTTAAGCGTGCTTGACTTGGAGCAATTCTGGGATGGGTGACCTTCTGGGAAGTTTCCCGGAAAGCGTGTGATTGAGGACAAAGCATGCTGAAAAGACCCGTGTTGGTTTGTGGGGTCAGTCGGTAATCCTAAAAGCAATATGGGGCGTTACAGAGAGACGTATGAAGATGGAGGTTGAGAAGCGCGTGTTCTGGTCGCTGTTGGTGGAAGAAGGGTTGTCATGGTTAGAATGAAGTTAACAGGTTGAGGGAGTGAAAGTGATGATTGAAAAGAAGAAGGTGGATAAAAAGGAAGCTTCAGCTTTTGGTATCTGTTTTCAGAAACCCTTCCTCAGTTTTTATTTAATTTCTCTACCTCTCGCTTTTCTTTCAAAATTCCGTTCCAAACTCTTCTACCCTCCCATTTTCTTGAAATGCTCTATAAGTTTCGATGGTGCAGGCTCAGTTTTTATTATGCTATTGAGGTTGACCTGAGTTGGATGGTATGCCTTGGTTTACTTGTTGTTTTCAAAATTGCAGGTTTCACAGGATATATTATTTTTTTTTTAAAATCTGATCGTAGCAAGTGTAGGTTATAACAGGTTTTGGTCATTGGCAATTTGGTGTGTGGTTTGTCATGTTGTGAGGTTTTTAGTGTAATGTGTAGCTGTAGTTTTTTGGCTTGTAATAGCAAGTGAAAGCAGGGCAGCACGATACAGCATTTTGGATAGCTCTACTGCGCAGGATGTAGCAGCAAACATTGGAATCTCTCTTTTTATTTTTTGAATTCTTTTTGTTGTAAAACAAAAGTGTAATAAAAAAAAGAGTAATGGGCTTTGTGATTTTTATACATGGACTTTTGCAACAGAAATGTAACTTGGCTTTTATGTGGAATGAACTTATGAATAGAAATAGGAAATGGACTTGATTAATTGTTGTATAATGAATATGGAAGTAAAGAAAAATGGTATGAAAAGTGTGATTTAACAAATTTTGAATAAATGAGGTGGTGGGTTAAAATGGTCATAGAAATGGACTATGAACTGATTTGTGGATAATTGGATGAAAAATGGCTAAATGGACAAAATTGGATAAGAATATGGATAATTGAATTGAATTGAAAGAAATGAATTTAGAAATGGAACATGGATAATTGAATTGATTTGTGGATAATATGAATGAAGTGAATTAAGAAAGTGGTTTGTAAATGGACAAGGAACAGAAACTGAAAATGGTTATGCGCCTCCACATTTAAAATCTCGGCAATTACACTTGACCACAACAGATCCTGAACAACAACACAAACTCGAATTCATCTTAAAATGATCTTGATTGAATAATAACCTGACGAATCCTCAGACCAAAAGTGAAAACCCTAATTAACCAAACAGTACTTGCACATACATTGAACTTGCTAGCCTCAAGAGACTCAACTGAATGACAATTGTCGATCATAAACACCAAGGGCGAGAAACACTACTCTTTCGAAATCCTGATCCATTACCTTTCTAATCAACCCACTGAAGAAACCCTAAACAACAACACCTTTGTGGCAATTTAGAGAAACTGAAGTTGTGCCTTGATAAACCTCTGATAGGAACTGCACATGACAATTGAAAACTCAACATCTATGCCTTAAACTTGAGTATAATAACCGAAAGAAACAACCTCCAAACAATATAATTCCAACTTAACAGAAAATCCTCATGTTCGAAACCCTACTTTAACCACATTTGAAGCTTATGAAGTCAAACCTTGATTCATAAGTGAAACAAATCAAACAAAAGCTGATAAACTAGTTAGTTATGCAATATGATTGACCTAGAATGATATGCAAAAGATCAAAGAATTTAAGGGAAAATTTTGGGATATGAAACATGTATGTGCATATACGTTGGGGTGAGTGGCTGCTGGAGACGGTGACATATGTCACCGTTCTGCCACGTGTCATGTTCTAGGTTTCCCACTTATAATCCTATGCTACTATATCAAGACCATTACCATGTGTTGTTGTGCCCTGTCTGAACGATCATTTGACCAAGGTCAGATCTTCTGATCTGACGGTCACGATCTTTCCTATTGGTCAACCTTGGTTGACTAGGGTTTTCCTACACCCCATCCATTTTGGGACCCTTCCACTGGTGGGCCTGGTCTTTTGTTATATACACTTCTGCTTTTGCTAACTTTAGCCCAAGTCCTTTCTTTTGTTTTTTATTTTTTATTTCTTCTTTTTATTTCCATTTTTATTTCTTAATTCTCTTTTAAATTTATTTGTTTTATATTTTTTATAATAGGTTTAGAAAGATCAAAAAATATTATTAAACACTCTAAATAATTTTACTTAATATAAATGATTTTTTTTATTAATTCTATTTTTCTAATTTAAGTGATTGTCAATTTTTATTCCCTTACTATTTTTCTCATGATGTGCTTGTGCTCAATGATATATCTCACTTAGACATTCAAACTATGTTCAAAATAAATTCTTGATTCAACGTCGAGTCATTTTCACCCTTGTAAATCCATTGCTTTGAGCATCACCATCAACCTTATGGTCACCATACACAACATTCATAGCTTACTCTTGGGCTTTCTTTCAATGAGACATATTCGGTCAATTACTTCTAGTTGGACGTTTAGAAGACTAGCCCACTTTGCTAGTGCACACATAATAATAAAAAATTGATTTAATTGTTTATCGCTTTCATGATTCATTTACTTGCGTATGCTTATTTGTTTGGTTGTGTGTTTATCGTCTCTTTATCATCCCCATTCAAAAAGGTGTACCCTCATCTCCATGAAGTGTAAAATAGTTTTATTGCTTTCTTTTACTTGCTTGCTTGTTTATTTTGTATTGTATGATGGATTTTCCAAATCCTAACGCATACTTGATCCATATATCAAGCCCTACCCCATCTTCTAAGTCGGTTGCCTTATGCATCTCCATCGACCTTACCTTATACCCCTTAGGACCTCCTTTCCTTTAGTTCAAACCCTTGCACCATGAATAAACCCTTGATCCAACGTCAAGTGACATTTTCTAAGAAAACATTAAAGCACGCACCTAGCCTAATGGTTACATTAAGTACAACGGACGTCAGGCGTGCTAATATCTTCCATTTGTGTAACCGACTCCCAAACTCAGACTCTTGGTTGCGATGACCATGTCTTTTCCTTTCGGTTAAGGGTTTTATCGATATTTTCCCCTTCCCTTTATGGGAATAAATAAATCTCGGTGGCGACTCTGTTAGTCCATCCCGCGAGCGTGCGATTGCGCTTCGCGAGGTCGTCTCTTATTTTTTAAGGTACGACATCCGATTTCTTGGTACTCGAAGAAGCAACCAGTGGTTGCATTGTCAACCTATGAAGCTGAGTATATTGTAGGTGCTTTATCTGCCTGTCAAGCTGTATGGATTCTAAACTTGTTGCATGATTTGAAGATCAAGGTGAGCAAGCATGTGAAGTTGATGATTGACAACAAATTAGCTAAAAGCCTTGCTAAGAATCCAATGTTGCATGGAAGAAATAAGTACATTAACACAAAGTTCTATTTTCTGCGCAATCAGGTTCATAGTGGAGTGCTTGAAGTTATTCATAGCACTCAAAAGCAGCTGACAGATGTACTGGCCAAAGTAATCAAGATTGAACACTTTATCCATTTGAGGATTGAAATTGGCGTTGTTGATTTTGATTTGCTGAATATGAATTAAGGAATGATGTTAGATATAATTCATTTTCATTTAAGTTGCATTTAAGATGAAATTGAGTTTCATTTAATTTTGGTTCTAATAATATATAAACATAACTTAGCTTCATTTGTAAGTAGAATCAGTTGTAACTGAATTTTTGATTTCAGTGAAAAAAGTTAGTTACAATTTTCTCTCTTTTGTCTTCATCATCTTCATCTCCTTCCTGATTGTGCACCAACAGTAACCACTCACAATGCACAGCGGTCAAATTCTACTAGGGGTTACCCCTCACAATGCACAACATGTCAAGTCCAATCGCACAGAGTCATTCATTTTACTAATCTAACCATTTCCTTCCAAAGCAAAATTAAACGTGCCACTAATTATGTCAAGGGTAACTCTTCTTATCTCTTTATTTAAAAATTCAAAATTTCTAACTGCCAAGGATTACCCCTCACAACACACAATTAAAATTCTAAATTTTTCCGCCTTAAACTTTGCAAATGATTACTCCTCATAAAATTGTTTGTTTTCTTATATTTCTTACATTATGATAGGTTTGACCCTTGACTGTATCATTTTCTTTAAATCCATGGCAAAAACAACATTTTCTTGTAGTGATTATTAGCATCGCAAACCACACATGTGCAAGTGTAAACAAATATTTTATATACGACTTCAAAAATTTTAGGACTTCATAATTTTGTTGAATGTTTTTAAAATATAAATATAAAGTGTTTGTAAAAACAGACTAATTACATAATGTTGCAAAGTCAAATAACTATGACATTTAATATAATTTATGAGCCTGTTGTTGCTGGGTCAAAACTCATACACTTAAATGAAGGGGTGTGTATATTACCACATGGGAAAACAACAAATTCTGTTACATTTCAAACATTATTAATATATAGTATGAGAAAAATGACGAGACAGAGACTAATGAAAAATTGCAACTTAGCCATAGTTCCAATTCCAATCATATCTGGAAGCATATAACCAAAAGGGTTTGGGCATGGATTGCTTGATTGGAGAAAAACCGTCTACTTCATCATGCTCGAAGTTACATCCATTAATGATCTCATCAATCACTTCTCTTCCTTCACATATGATTTTAATATCACATCTTTCTTCTACAAATTTTAACACCATATCCGCAGTAGAATTTTGTCTTCTTGACACATGTTTTCTAATCATCCAAATAGTAAAAGCATTTAGTAAAAATTTGGAATTATAAATGATTAATTATATAAATTGTACCTTAGATTAGATTGGGAAGTTCCAATCACCAGCTTTCTAATATTTAGATTCTTAACAAGCTCTGCAATGGCTTTAGCAACATCGTCACCTTCAATAAGCAACATTTCCACCTTAACTTTTGAGCCAGTACACATGTCGATAAACTTTTGAAGGAAGATTCTCCTCTTTCGTTTCTCTTGGCTCAAGAAGTTGTTAACAAGTTCTTGACTCGCATATCTCCTTGGAATTTTTCCCACTGTTATTCATCAGAAATTAATTTCAACAAAAGAAGAACAAGTAAAAAGTAATTGAAATACTTACCTGGAGTTGGAACTCGCTTGACTTGAGGGAAAACGTGTATAAGCGAGACAGTAGTAGAATTAGGGTTAGTTAAGTGCTTTAAGGTCCATGAAAGTGCTTCCATGCTTGAACCAGCTTCACCAACGGCCACATAAACAACATCATTTAATTTGATTTTGTTGTGGATATCAATAGAGAAAACACTGCTCTCGCAATCTTCTTCTTGTATTGAATTCAATGGTTTCTTCTTCCAATTTATCTCAAACAACTCTTCTGAATCAACATTATTATTTTCTTCTATTTTGCTACTGAAATCGCAACCACACCTAATGCCAATGTCTTCATCGAAGTAATGTAAGAACTCATCATCACCATCAATATTTCGATTTATTGGCATCACAATGGCTCAATAGAGATTTTTTTTGATGAAATTATATTGTGCTAGGTTTTCTTTTAAATATTTTCGCCTAGAAAATCCTGGTCAGCTAAAATATTTAATTTTTTTACAATACAACTCAAATATTTAATTGTTTCTGTAAATGCCTGAAGTAATATGATATTTGAATTTTTTCCTCAATTAATGCTTCACATTATTTAAACTATTTGCGGTTTTGAAAAAAATATTAAATACAATGATTTTTATTATAATATTATTATTTAATAAAATAGATGAAGAGAATGAAATTTAATAAAAGATATAATAATAAAAAATTCATAATAAATATTTATTCTTATTATAACGGGACATTTATTTTGATAGAGAAAAGAAAATGCAATTAAGATATTTTTATAAGAAGAATAAAGTAATATATTTTCCCTAAAATTTTTGTGCTTAGCTGTATTTATGTATTTGGATATGTATTCAAAAATATTACTGATTTTAGTATACGTGGCTTTAGAAAAAAAATATTTCATATTACCAATGAATAAATAATATTATTTTTTTATTATATCTTTAAAATTTTATTATTCTCTCTCTTTCCAATTATGTAACTTTATTTTTCTCCTATCATTAATAAAAAATAATTTTGTAAAAACATTCATGATTTCTAATTTTCATATAATAATCACTAATTTTCTTAATATGAGCCTAAAATCTAAAACGATTTATAATTAAAAACAGAGGTAGTAATTTACTAATGTATGAATGTATTAATTTTTGGTCTAATATCATAAATATTGTTATCTTAGTTGGTGGTTTTTTTTTCTCTCTTTTAAATCTTAGATATTTTTTTTATGGTTTTTTAAAATTTTCCAAGATTTTTAAATTAATAATTAATTAAATTTTTTAAATTGTTATCTCACCCATTTTAATAATTATTTGTATTGGTTTCAATGATATTAACTAAATGTATATTAATAAAAATAATATTCTGTAAATTAAAATGTAATAACTAAAAATATATTAATAAAAAAAATAATTGTTACATTGTAAATCTTAAAAGATAAATAATTTAATATAAAAATTATTGGGAACTTAAAGTAAGATGGAAGGAATAATTTAATCTTTCTCTTAAACTTGTTTTGATATAATATTTTATAAAACATTTTTTATTACAAATATATAAAGCTACGTTATTTTATAATTAAAAAAAACAAATCCTGTTATTGTATTTTATATATATATATATATATATATATATATATATATATATATATATATATATATATATATATATATATATATATATATATATATATATATATATATATATATATATATATATATATATATATATATATATATATATTGATATAAATCTACTTTTGATCCCTTATTTTGATATTTTTAACTTTGTAATTTCTCTATTTTAAGATAAATTTTTTGATGCTTCAATTTTACTTTTTTTTTTGGAGATTTTTGTATTCCCTCTATTTTTAGATAAAAATATTAGGGTGATTAGGATAAAAATTATTTTTAAAGATGTGTAAGTGATGACTAGGATAATTTATTAATTAATTTTTTTATAAAATAGATTAATAATTAATAATTTTTATTAATTTTATTTAAAAATATTTTTGAAAATTAATATATAAGGATTTAAAAAATATCTATGTGTTAGCCTCATGTCTTTGCAAGATTTCTCCAACCCACAAGGAAAGAATAAGTTATATTGGTGTAAGTTACATAAATACTAAAACTAAGTGTAATCAATACAACATGGAAAAATTTAAGATTGAGGAGATTGAAAACCTAACACTTCATAAGGACGTGAAGGGTGTTAGAAGTTTTTTAGGACATACTGAATATTATCGGTGTTTTATAAATGATTTTTCATAAATAACTAAACCTCTATGTAATGCAAATATACTTTAAATTACGCTTCGTATCATAGAAGGTCATTTCCCTGCCAAGGGTAGAGGATCCTCGTCCCATCCCCCGAGGTAAAGCTCTGATCAAGGTGGAAGTCTATGGACTCCACCATTCTTGTCCCTTGGTTTTGTTCAAAATTTATTCTACCTCCTCATTCAATTCACTTGACTTATGGTTTTGTTCATTTGCATACATTTAATCACAATTTAGGTCATTCGTTGGTATTTTCAAGAAACAAAAGGAAAATTCTACATTATTCCTTAAATTTAATACTTGTTTTTTCAACACTTTCCAGTATTGATTCATACCTAAAAATTCATAATTTGATCCATGAGTTTACACCATTCAAAAATATTTATTTTCAAAACAAAATCACTTCTCAAAAGCACTTAAAGTCATGGGATAATTCACCAAAAAACTCAAGAAAAAGTAACAAAAAAATCAAAGGTAAAAACATTCAAAAATTCAAAGTTTCATGCATATTTACTAATGAACTTTTGCCTTACATTCCAACTTGGTACTTTTACAAAACTCAAACATCATTTGTCTCTAACTACCAATGCATCTACAATCATTCAATTACCTAATTAACCCTTAACTACCATAACTACCAAACTAACTGAAAACTATCAAACTAACACAAATTCCAATTTACATTTTCAATCAAACTTCCATTTAATCCTAACCATTCATGACAATAAATCCAATGGTTAAAATTAGTGATCTGCAACTAAAGCTTAAATTAATTCTCCACCATTGATAAACCTCTTACTTGGATCATTCAAGGGTGCTCATTAATTTACAAAGCCTATATAAACATTTAATTTCTCACAATTTTAGACTTAACTAACATAACTAATATTAACCCCTTGAACCATCTTTTTTCCCACCATTTTTTCTCAAATTCCCTCTCTTTTTTTCACCCTCTCACCATCAACAAAGTTCATATTCATCATCATTTAGAATTTCACATTAAAGTTCTAAATTTGGTCAAACTTAGCCATAATTCAATTTCAACAAATTATTAATCAAGTTTCAACAATTCACACATCCACAATAATCATCCAAAGTTCATCAAGATTCAATCATATTCATCAATATTCTATATTCAACATTCATCTTTAATATTCTTTCATCATCATAAATAATCATAAAGCTTGTGAATTATTGGAAGCATAACAAAAAGACTTACTTTTGAAGTTTTTCGGGTTTCTCTTCAGCTCTCCGTTAGCAACACTAATCGGGGAAATCCTCTGCTCCGTCGATAATTCCTCACCTATTTTCTTCTAACCATTGCCATGAATTTTTGAATGCTTCTTATTGATTAATTTAAGCCACTATTATGAAATAGATTATTTAATAAGCACTTTTTTTCTTAAACCAAAAAAATCAATTTCAAATAACTAGAAAATTGCATTAGAATCAACATAGAATAATTTCTAACATAGTTTAGCATAACGTTGAATTAGACATTGCATTAATGTAGAGTTTAAACATAGAACATGAAATAACTTATTAGAATAATCATTTATTTGAAGCCAAAAAAGAAAAGAAACTTGGTTCAAGAATTTTACCAAAGTGTACATGTTACGAAACATCAAACTACAACATAAATCGTAATTATATAAAAACCGTAAAATCCAAAAAAACTAGAATTGAAACGGAAACGCAAAACAAAACCGCCATTATTTCGGTAACATATGTGTATAAGCATAATTATATAACGCTGTACAATATTCAATCAAACCATGACTTGGAATTCAAGTGATTTAGTATTTAATAAATGCAATATCATTATCAACCTTAACTTGGATTAAGATGGATACAAATTTTGACAGTAATAAAAAAATTAATATTGATGCACCAATATCTCTGTTTTTATATCCATGTATAATCAATTATCTTAAGTATCTAATACTCGACATTGATAAACATGAAACAAAACTGCCTCAATCCCGGTACTTATTATAGCATGGTTCTATTATTATTATTACATATTCTATTACCACTGCTATTACATTCTTAAAATATTGGTATAATTGTCGCTACACAAAAAATACCGGAGTGCATCACACGCTTGATGATACAACAGAATCACCACCAAACTCTATTTATTCCAAAAGGAAAGGGAAAATATCGATAAAACCCATAGAAAAGATTTGGTGTCATAATCAAGAGAAGGAATAAGAGTGATACGAGTGGTGTTCAAACCAAAGAAGAAGTAAATTTTAAATGAGATAAGAGAAATGGTGTTTTAACCGAGAATCGATGATTAACCAAAAGAAAAGAGTTATAAGGTTTGTTAACCAAAAATTTGTGATTAACCCAAATAAAGGAGTTGTAAGGTTTATTAACCAAGAAGTGGCGATTAAACCAAAGAAAGAGAAATTGGTATTTTAACTGAGAATCAGTGATTAACCAAGGCAGGGAAGGAAGTTGGTCTTTTAACCGAGAATCAACGATTAACCAAGGAAATGGGAAAATGATTTTTTAACCGAGAGTTTGTGATTAACCAAGGAAAGGGAAGATAGCATTTTAACCGAGAATCGATGATTAACCAAGGAAAGGGTATTTTAACCAAGAGGTGATTAACCCAAATAGAGGGGTTTTATTCAAAAACCAATATCCAAATAAGAGTGTTTGGTCCAAGAATGAGCTTATCGTTGATTTTAGGTTTTAAAAAGAAGATTGTTTTGATTTTAATTGCACTAAAGTGTATGAGTGGAGGTAAATATCTCAAACGAGTGAACCAAGCGTCTCATGTTCAAAATATTCAGAATGAGAGCAGGAAAGCTCCATTCTCATTCCTTCTTCACTACTTAAGGCTCATGGCGTACAATTCTAATTGTGTTTTAAAGTGTTTCTTTTTTTGAATTTGTTTAAGAAAAGTCACTTGACGTTGAATCAAGGGTTTTGAGTTTGGGATGTGAAAGGTGTGAGGATGAAAGGAAGGGTAAGAATAGGAATGGAGTGGATGACATGCTTGATGTTAGATCAAGAACTCATGTTGCTTTTGATTAAGTTTTATTTTGAAAAGCACTTGATGTTGGATCAAGTGTGTTTGATTCTCTTGAAAAGTGTTT